ATGATGCATGGAGGGGATTGGAATCATGGCAGTGAGATGATATAAGATGGAATGAATGTAAAACTAAAGTTCTCCCATGTAAACTATCATATAATTCACAATAAAACATTAAAAAAAATTGTTATGAGCAGTCAAGTCGGTTCTGACTCATAGCAACTCTGTATAGTGCTAACCTTGTGGTTCGCAGTTCAGTGCTGATCGCAGTACAATATGTATATATGTGGACTCCTCATGTGGCACTGTAGGATAAACACTCAACCAAAAGGTTGGTTTAAGCTGCAGGGTCAGTGGTTCAAACTCACCCAGCTACACCTTGGAAACCCTATTCAGGGTTGCTATGGGTCAGAAGCGACTCGACAGTACTTAACAACAATATATAAGATTTTATGTGTGTGAATTGGGTGATGGTTTACAAAACAGATAATCAGTTTTCTATTCAACAATTTATACATGTTTTGTTACTCCATAATGTGACATCATTTTCCAATACTTTTTCTTTAGCAATTCTGAACTTTAACCTTGGGTTGCCCTTTTGATCTCAAGTGGTTAATTATTCTAAAGTGTGTATATATATATATATATATCTCCCTGATGTAACTGTTTTTCCAGGGGATATTTTTGCCCACCTCTTCACTCTTAATGCCTTGGCTTTTTAACTACAGTGTAATGACAGTGTTCTTTAACTTATGTCATTCTGATCTTTTTCCAGGCCAAGTTAATTTTTGTAAAAACACAAATCTGATCATGTCATATTTTCTTGTCCACAAGGTAACATCCAGGTGCCTAGGTAAGACACACAAGATCTGCATAATTATATCCCACTATTAGACCTCTGTAGAGTCCTGGTGTGGCACTGTAGAATAAACACCGGACTAGTAACCATAAGGTCAGTGGTTCAAGCCTACCAGCTGCTTATCAGAAACCCTATACATGGTCACTATGGGTTAGAACTAACTCTACAGCACTTATCATTAGACCTCTGTGACCTTACTGGCTGCTACTTCTCACTCAAGACATTTTGAGTTAATTTTTGCAGTTGCCCCATATGCCCATCTATTCTAAGTCTCCATGCATTGTTCACCCTCACCTGTCTTTGTCCTCTCTACAGTGTCCACTTAGCCCTCATCTCAGTGTGTTTTACTATTGCAGTTCAAGTTTCATCTCTCCTTGGAGACTCTCCTGGGCCCCAAAGTAGAATTAAATTTTCAGGGGCTTCTTTGTGCCCCTGTAACTTAAGCAGATTTCTGCCATAGCACCTGCAACCTTTTCTGGCACCCACTTGGGAAGAAGTAGATGAGTGTTATTGCTTTCACAGAAGCTAGGCTGATTTGGCTGCATTTTCAATTTCACTGCTGTGTCTCCAGAGCATGCAGATCTAGTTTTGTTTGTTTGTTTCTCCTCCAAGTAGGCCAATCTCATCAGACATATCCAGCAAGAAATAGAACGAACCTAGGAGGAATTGTAATTCTGTCATAGCTGTTCTTCATCACTGATGAACTTTTGCTCCTTCCTCCTTGAGTTCCCCGATTTTTATTCCTGGATTCTGTGCACTTGTCTGAGTCAAAATGTGAGTGGTGCTGTAGGATTCTGCCTAGAGGGCCAAAGTGAATACTCCTGGTAAGAATAATGCGAAATGTAAAACTGAAGGCTAACAGTAATTGCTTGGGTGAAGACCTATTAGCCCCCAAGGCAATTTCCATGCTATATCAATAAAAGAAAAAGAGATTCAGAGACCTAGCAAGTAGAGTGTTAAGCTGCAAAGAACAGCTCAGAGATAATTCGTTTAAAGCATTGAGATCTTACTCAAGTATATCTATGCGGACCAATATGCTAACCACTACCCACATGTGGCTACTTACATTTAAATAACTTGAAATCGATTAAAGATTTGGTTATTGGGTTGCACTAGGAACTCTGGGGGCACAGTAGTTAAGTGCTGTACTGCTAACCAGAAGGTCAGAGGTTTCAGCCCACAAGCTGCAGCTTGTGAGAAAGATGTAGCCGTCTGCTTGTGTAGAGAGCATAGCCATGGAAACTACAGGGGAGTAGTAATCTGTTCTATCAGGTCACTCTGAGTCAGGGTCAACCGGAAGGCAGTGGATTGTTGGTTGGCTGCACTAATCACATTGCAAATGCTCAGGAGCTATGTGGGTTATTGTTCACTGTATAGGGCAATGCAGCTAGAGGACATTTCCATCGTTGCAGAAATCTCTGCTGGACAATGCTGCTCAGAAAATATAATCTAGGAAAAAATATTTTTCTAGAAATATATTTTCTAGAAAAAATATAATCTAGGAAAAGCAGCCCTGTTTGACAGTCTTCCAGACCACAGGCAAGGGATTCTAAAGGCTAAAGTCCCAATGTTTCATTAGAGACAGTGATTGATTTTGTCAGCTCATCCTTCTCTGTTGTTGTTGGTTTTCCAGTTCAAATCACTTGGTTGTGGTAGAGGATGGTGTCAACCAGTTGCTGAACTCCATGTCTATTTGTTGAGTTTAGAGAATATAGCCACCAAAGTTCACTGTTGGAATGTTTTTCTGTTGACTTCAACAAGACGTTTGAAGAAGCATTTGTTCACCTGGGCTCTTCCTGCTGTTTTACACCCTCCAAGTCAGGTATATGCAGTGGGCAAAATTCAACATATCTGATCAGGGTATAGGACAGCTTTCATCATCAGTTCCTTACCCCATGTAGAGTGTCTGCCTCTTGTCCCCATGGGACCAACACATCTTGTTACTCCTCCAAGGAAAGTAGTCTGTGCTGATTATGCTAATGGAAGTAGGGAAATTATTGGGACCAGACCTTGAATTTTAACTCTTGCTTTCACATTTGGAGTTCTTGGAAGGTCTGAGGAAACTTTGTTGGGGATTCCAGGATTCTGTGCTGCAAGACTGACGTGGGGTAAGGATACCTTTCTCTGATGTGTGCTCAATAAAATCTGTTCTCTGTCGAAGCTGGGAGTTTCTCATCTGGGAAAATGAATGCCCAATTTAAAATTCAGGCCATCCATCTGTTGTCACCTGTTGACTCACTGCCAGTTTTTGTTTTCCAAGAACATCATGCTTTCCTTTTTAAAAGAATCTAACTTCTTGGACAAGAGTCATGGTACAGTAAGTAGTTTGCTTAGGTCATAGAAGGCTGGAGAGATTTGGGATTAGGCAAGTGATTGAGATGGTTTGAACATGGAGGAAAAAGCTTAGTATGCCAAGGAGTTCTCATCATCAGAAAGCTTCATTCATTCATTCATTCATTCATTCATTCATCCATTACCTGTGCTATGTCTAAGGAGCCCTGGTGACTCTGTAGGATAAGCACTGGATTGCTAACCATAAGATGTTGTTGTTGTCAGGTGCCATCGAATCGGAACCGACTCATAGCGACCCCATGCACAGCAGAACGAAACAATGTCCGATCCTGGACCAACCTCACTACCGCTGCCACACTTGAGTCCATCAATGATGCCACCTGGCCAATCCATCTCGTTAGAGGTCTTCCTCTTTTTCTCTGACCCTCCACCTTACCCAGCATGACATCCTTCCCCAACGATTGTTTCCTCCGGACAATATGTCCAAAGTATGAGAGACGAAGCTTAGCCATTCTGGCCTCCAAGGAGCACTCTGGCTGCACTTCTTCCAAAACAGATCCATTGGTTCTTTTGGCAGTCCATGGCACTTTCAGTATTCTCCTCCAACACCACAACTCAAAGGCATCAACTCTTCTACGATCTTCCTTATTCACTGGCCAGCTTTTGCATCCATATGAGGCTATTGAAAACACAATGGCATGGGTCAGGCGCACCTTAGTCCTCAAACTGACATCTCTGCTCTTCAATACTTTAAAAAGTTCCTGTGCAGCAGATTTGCCCAGTGCAATACATCGTCTGATCTCTTGACTGCTGCTTCCGCGAGTGTTGATAGTTGATCCAAGAAGAATGAAGTCCTTGACAACTTCAATCTTTTCTCCATTGATAAGAATGTTATTTATTGGTCCAGTGGTGAGTTCTTGACATTGAGATGTAATCCATATCGAAGACTGTGCTCTTTGATCTTCATAAGTAAATGTTTCAAGTCCTCTTCACTTTCAGCAATCAAGGTTGTATCATCTGCATATCGCAGGTTGTTAATGAGTCTTCCTCCAATCCTGATGCCACGTTTTTCTTCATAGAACCCAGCTTCTCGTATTATTTGCTCAGCATACAGGTTGAATAAGTATGGTGAAAGAATACAACCCTGTCTCACACCTTTCCCAATTTTAAAACATTCAGTGTTCCCATGTTCTGTTCGAACAACTGCTTCTTGGTCCAGGTACAGATTTCTCAGAAGTACAATTAAGTGTTCTGGAATACTCATACTTCTCAATGTTGTCCATAGCTTGTCATGATCCACACAATCGAAAGCCTTTGCGTAGTCAATAAAGCACAGGTAAACATCCTTCTGATATTCTCTGCTTTCAGCCAAGATCCATCGGACATCAGCAATGATATCTCTCGTTCCACGGCCTCTTCTGAATCCAGCTTGAACCTCTGGAAGTTCTCTGTCAATGTATGATTGTAGCCAATCAGTCAGCCAGACAGTTGTCTTCCAAAACCATAAGATAGACAATTCAAACCCACCAGTCACTCCTTGAGAGAGATGAGGCTTTCTGCTCTTGTGTGGATTTACAGTCTTGGAAATCCAGTAAGGATTGCTAAAAGTCGTAATTGGCTCAGTAGCAGTAGGTTTGGTTGGGGTGATATATCCACCATATGCCAGGCACTATGCAAAGTAACAACCATCAGTGTATAGGCCTGTTCACATATGTAGTGCCATACAACAACCTTGTGTTGTAGGGATTTTTTTAAAACATTACTTTTATGGTTGAGGCAACTGAGGCTCAACTGAGGCTCACAGTCAGTGGGTAGTAAATGCGGGGTTCAGTCCTAGGTCTGTGACTCCAGGTCATCACTCTTTCCCTCCATGCCACCCCTCCCTGAGCTCTCATTTGTTTTGTTACAGGTCCCTGCTTCATGGGTCCAGAGGAAGGTGAGTGCCAGGATTATATCCTGAAATGGTACTACAACAAGGAGGAGCAAGCTTGCCAGCAGTTCTGGTATGGAAGCTGTGGGGGCAATGGCAATCGGTTCGACACCAGGGAAGAATGTGAGGCTCAGTGTGCCTAGACACCCCTAGGGAGTTACTGTTGTCCCTGTTTTATAGCTGATGACACCAGGGTTATCCCTCCTGAGGCAAAGCCAGACATTTTGTAAGTGACAATGGTCACAACCTCAGACATTCAACTCTTAACCTCCTGATTTTTTTTTTTTTTTTAAACCAGTGATGGGTAGGACCAGATGATTTGTAACGTGCGAGAACTGAATTTTAAGAGTCAAAGAAATTAACTGAAACTTTTCTGAAAATTATTTAAAATGAATTGGTACTGAATGCAAAAGCAACTTGAACTTGACCTATAGCATTACTTAGTTTGTTTTCACAATGTAGCTAAAGAACAATAAATGTACGTAATGAACAAAACTGAATTTAGTTGATTGTGAAAGTTATTTTGTGTTTAGACACTAGCGAATGGGGACGTAGTAACCAAAAGAGGGGGACTTGAATTAGAGACATTTAATGTGAAACTTCATCCTTCCTACCTGGTGGACAAATAAAGGCATTCTTTATGAAACCATTTGGTGTGAGACTGTGTGTGATGTCTGCACGCTGGAATCTGTGCTAGCGGTTTGTGACATGGCAGTTGATGGAGAGGAGACGGCAGTGGCTTTTCTATGACACCAATCCATTGGGGCCAAGGATACTCACTTTGTCCTTTGAACTTGGTGAGTCAACAAGGAAGATTGACATTGTCAATGAGAATATGAAATGAAGGGTCTAGGTTAACTCTGGATGAGAAATGTTGCAAAGAAACAATTAACTGTGTTTTCTTGTGAGATCTTCCTTTGTCTTACTCCTCAATTCTCCAGGCCTCTGCATATGGGCTCCCATCAGGGCAGAATTTAGGTGTCCTGGGTTAAGTATTGGGTTGCTAATTGAAAGGTCAGAGGTTTGAACCCAGCAGGCACTCCTCGTGGGAAAAATGAGACAATCTGCTTCCATAAAGATTTATAACCTCAGAAACCCCATGGAGCACTTCTACTCTGTGCTATAGAATTGATATGAGTTGGCGTCAACTTGAAGGCAGTTTGGGTTTGCGGGGAAAGGGGATACAGGGAAATGCGTGTGCATGTCGAGGTAAGGAGTCTGTAGGATGATAAACAGCTGGTGGTCACCCCAGTTTGCTCTCTGGTAAGGCCCTGGTTCAGTAACAAAACCTGCGATTTCCAAATCCTTTTTGTTCCTCTTTGCAGCCCAATGACACTTAAAATGGATGAGTACCAGGTTTATACAAAATGTTCTTATAAATATTAACATTTTTATGACAATTATTTTTATATGATCACAAAAGGACAACTATGTGTTCAGTGTAGAAAGTTTGTAAAATGTAGAAACACACATGGAAGAAATAAAGACCACCTATACTCTTTTCTCCTCAAAGCAATCATTTTGGTGTCATCTAGACTTCATCCTATGCCTAGATATCTTTTTCTCCCTTCCTTCAGATACTGAATTAAAAATTACTGTTTTTCCATTTGAAATAAAATAGTTGAATAAAGCTTTTCTATGTTGAGAATGAATGTTTCCTACTGCTTGACAAGTGAGAGGGGAGAGGGGCATGTTTGTCTCTCTTTTTTTAAGCATAACTGCAGCTGCCTGGGCTAATAAGCCTATCCATCTTGAAAACGGTGTGTGATCTGAGTTGTGATCTGTTTTCCACTTCTTATTTCTACCGTGCCCTTCTGATGTCCACAATTTGGGAACACAGAGACAAAGATTCACTAATAAGAGATCTTTCTGGGAAGGAGACAGACAAATGTGTCCTAGGAAGCTGATAGTTCCAACTGCAATTCTTCCTGCACATGAAAAGGTCTATCCCTTCCGTGGAGCTCCTCTGTGCTGTCAGGGTTCCCTGGAAAAATCCTGAGGGATGATCTAACCTCTGAAGGTCAGAGTCACAGGGGAAGGACAGGCTGTGACAGACAAGAACTTCTTACCAGACACACAGGAGCCTGAATTTGCCATCTGCCTTAGATGCTTCCCAAGGTTCTGACCTGGCTCTGGGTCTGGTACTTTAAGAGTTGCCTGAAACAGCTGGCTTGGCTCAAGGGGCGGGGGCTGGGAGATATCCTGGAAGTCTAGCTTAGCCTGTGATCACTCTGTCCTCATTTGCCCTATAGAGAGGCTTAAAGACCTGCCTGGACCTCTAAGTTAAAGCAACTTCCCAGAAATTGTACAATGACTGCTTCCCTCTGTCCTGGATTCAAGGATTAGACTGCAAAGGAATTTTGGTGGCATTAAACGGCATCTTAGAACTAAATTCTATTAGTTGGCCTCAACAGACACACACATCAAAAAGGGACTTACTGGTTCAATAATTGAAATATCCTGGGGCAGCTCGGGATCAATGTCTTTTGCAATATGTGTGCTTTCTCTTTAACTTTGTTTTCCTCCGGGATGGCTCATTCTCTGATAGACTCTTTCTATATGGCAGAAAGAGAGCTGGAAACTGGGAATGTTCAGAATGGTCAGACTCGAAGTGTGGATCCATCCGGAAGTGAGGGGTGATTGACTGGTTATGTGCCATGGAGTCGGTTCTGACTCGTATTGACCCTGTACAAGGTTTCCCAGGCTGTAAGTCTTTACAGGAGCAGAAAGCCTCATTTTTCTCCTGAGGAACAGCTGGTAGTTTCGAACTGCTAACCTTGCAGATCACAGCCCAATTCGTAACCACTACCGCTACCAACGCTCCTTGGCTGTGAGGGGTAGGGTCAGACTTATCCAACCATGTAGATATGACCTAGAGAGGTTGTTGTTGTTGTTGTGAGGTGCCATCGAGTCAGTTCTGACTCATAGCAACCCTGTATAGGGTTTCCTAGGATTGGCTGGTGACTTTGAACTGTCGACCTTGTTGTTCAAACCAACCTTATAGTCCAGCACATTAACCCTCGGTGCCACACTATAGGTGCTATTTAGAGGCCATTTTAATTCAGTGGCTCCCAAACTTGGTTGAATCTCAGAATCCTTTAAAATGAAGATTCCCTCTGCGCCTGACCCTTGGCCATTCTCCTCTTGAGGCCCCTCTTCAGTACCCAGTGTGATGATTTAAAATCACTGCTCGAATTCCTATTTATAGAAAAAGAAACAGGCCAGCGAGTGTAGAAGTGAAAGTGGGAGTGGGAAGGAAGAGAGGACTCGGTGACTTGTCTAAGACTAGTTATCAAACAAACTGCAACTAGAATCAAGATGGTCTCCTATGCACAAAAACACCCACACTTGCAGATAGTACCCATTTGGCCTGGCTTCAATGGCTGGATGATCCGAGCTCAACTAGAGGAAGAAAGAAGAGGAAAAAAAATATAAGCCACTACAATTTGATGAACTTGACCTATACTTATGGTTGTAGTAGCTTAAAAGAGGGAACAAATCTTTACAGCGAGGATCATTCCCACCCCTTCTGCACACAGAGTCTACAAGGATGGGCAACTTAAACACTGGCTACCCAAAACCAGGGGACTACAAAGCCACGGTGTGACTGGCTTACAACTTTTCAAGAGGGAGCCTAGTTTCAGAGGATGTAGGGGAAGGCAGAATCTCCACTGAGTGGTTTCCAGCCTGTCTAGATGGGGCTGGTGAAAGGAGATGGGGAAAAGACTCGTGTGGTTCAATAGTGAATAACTGCTATCAGGACTGATTGTGAATGTTGGAAATGTAAAGGGAGATGTTTTGTAACAAAAAAAGGGGGTGGTTGATCTTGCAGTCTAGGAGCGGAGGACCCTGGGACCATCAAGAGAGAAAAGCCAAGTGCGTGATCCTATCCAGAGAAGCAGTGACACCAGAGATGGAGGGAGAGATGATGATGTGGAGAGATGGAGTGGCTGGGGACTCTGGACTTGGAGGGGAGAGGAGCTGTGTACTGGTGGCTGGGGCACAGGCTTGCAGGATATACCCTTTGGTTGTTTGCATGGTTATATATTCCTGAGTGCTTCAGTGTACATCTAAAAAAAACACAGGGAATTGAAGCAAATGCTGTTGAATGATGATGCATGGAGGGATTGTAATCATTGCAATGAAATGAAATACATTTGGATGTAAAGCTGATGTTCTCCCATGTAAACTATCACTAAATCCACAATAAAAACTTAAAAAAAAAAAAAGATGGTCTCCTGAGCCTCAGTATGTGTTTCAGTACGTTACATGACTTTCAAATATTGTTGATTCCTGTTGCTTTGGAGTAACTGCAAGGAGGTAAAATTTTAAACATTTTAGATGGTATTTTCTACTTTAAAACAATAATGTTGTTGTTGTTAAGTGCCGTCGAGTGGTTCCAACTCATAGTGACCCTGTATAGGGTTTCTGAGGAATGGTTGTTAAGTTTGAACCACTGACCTTGTGGTTCAAACTGACCTTGAGATTGAGTGCTTCCCAAGTTCTCCTCTGTGGAGATCATGCTTCTCCAGGGTTTCTCCTTTGTTTAATGTTGCCATCTTGAGTTCTCATGGTAGATAATTCTTTTAATTTGTGAGTGATCTCAAAGGTGTACTTTTTATGCAGCTAGGAAACACTATTCAGATAACTGTGTCATGGGAAATAACAAGACTAGGCCGCCTGAATTCAGCACCTGGTTTCCTCCCCAGCTTCTCCTGTAACCTTAGGCAAGTCACTCCACCTTTCAAGGCCTTGGTTCCCTTATAGGTAAAATCAGAGAGTTTTAGTTCTAATTTTCTATGAGTCTTGGGGAAATACCACTGGATTGAGGTACTGTCACCTCCTGATTGATACTGTTGTTGTTAAGTATCGTTGAGTCGGTTCTAACTCATAGCAACCCTGTATAGCATTTCCGAGGAGTGCCTGGTGGGTTTGAACCACTGACCTTGCAGTTCAAATTGACCTTGTGGTCTAGTGCACCTCCTGATAGCTTTGTTGGAATTTAGGTTCACATAGTTTGAAGTGAGAATCAAGTTTTCTCTTACAGGTCAATTGTTGTTGTTAGGTGCTGTCCAGTCGGTTTCAATTCATAGCAACCCTGCATAGGATTTTCAAGGCTGTAAATCATAACAGGAGCAGAAAGCCTCACTTTTTTCCTTAGAGCAACAGACAGGCTGTAACTGCTAACCTTGAGATTAGCAGCCCAGTTCTTATGCTTCAACACCTATTCACCAAAAAACTGTGACAGTGAGGAATTGTATCTTACTCAACTTTGAACCCTCTAAAATTCCTGTCACCATATGTGTGGATTGCTGAGCTTGGAGAATTGAATCCCATTTGCAAACCTTCAGTTAGAATGCAAGAATGAAGAGTAGGACTTGAGAGTATATGCTTTTTCTCAGGTAAAATACTGTAATCTAAATAATAAACGCATATTCCTTAAGAAATCCCTCAGGATTTATGCTCCTAGAGAGAATCCAGGTACAGGCAGAAAAAGAGAACAAGTCATTGGTCTTGCAAAATTGTATCATGCTCTCTTCTGCACTGTTTCTAGGAGGGTGGGGTGGGTGGGGAGGAGAATGCTGCAGGGCAGGTAAGACTTCCAGGTCTTCAAGAAACTCCCCTTGATTTGTGTTGTTGTTTCCTTGAGGTGGATGTGGGATGCTGATTAAAAGGCTGCCAACCTCCTCTGTTAGGAGTGCTGCTGGCAGACTGCCTCTGCAGTCAGCCTCTTCTGACCTTAACTGAAGAGAACCATCTTACTCGAAGCCATGCACATTTCTCAAGCCAGCCCAAATTCAAGTAGATTAAAGCAGAAGCCTTTTTACCTACATGGGCAGTTTTGGAGGGTCATACTATTTTCAGAACATCCCTCATGGTCAGTTGAAGCTTCTACTGAGAATACATTGTTAGCTTGACTTTTCCTTCTGCCCAGTCCTACTTCCTTCTCTTCCTTTCTAGAGTTGTTGATCCAGAGAATACTCCCCAGTATACTTCCTGAGCACGAGTCTTCACCTCAGAGCTTGATTTCTAAACAACTGAACATGCAACAGTCTGTTTGAAACAACCACAAAGAACTGTAAGACCAAACTAACCTATGTGCCCTAATTTGTACAGTCCTGGGCAGGCAACCACAATCTCCTTTCTTCATATGCTTCAGGCTATTCTCAGCCAGAGAGTGTACAAGAAGCGGCCCAAGTGTTTTCAGTGTTTACTAGGGGGGAGATCCTCCACTTGCCTGTCAGTTTCCCACACTGTACAGGTTTGTGTGTTGTTGTGACGCTGGAAGCTATGCTACTAGTATTTTAAATACCAGTAGGATCATCCATGGTGGGCAGACTTCAGCCAAACTTTCATACTATGACAGAGTTGGAAGAAGAAGAGGCAGACCACTTCTGAAAGGTAAACCACTGAAAACCTTATGGATAACAATGGAATTTTATCTGATACAGTGTCGGATGAAGAACCCCTCAGGTTTGACCCTCTCATCAAAATATGACTGATGAAGCACTGCCTCCCCAAAGTAGAGTTAACCTTAATGATGTGGATGGAGCAAAGCGTACTCCTCCAATTCTTATAGCCTTGCTTTTTGCCAATGCCTTCATTGCACCTTGGACTTCTTCCTTCAGAACCATTGGCTCTTAATCATATGTTACCTCTTAAAATGGTTGAACACTGACCATTTCTTTTCTGTTCTGTGATTCTGTATATTCCTTCCATCTTCTTTTGATTCTACATGATTCAGTATTTTGCCCATTGTTGTTGTTAAGTGCCACAAGTCGATCCCGACCCATAAAGACCCTGTGTAGGGTTTCCATGGAGCAGCTGGTGAGCTTGAACTGCCAACCTTGCAGTTCAAACGGCTTTGCAGTTTTGCCCATAGATTCCATCAAATTGCAAATCGAGGCTTCAACTTTTCCTCAGTTCTTTCAGCTTGATAAATGCTAGGCATATTCTTTTGGTTTTCTAATTACTGGTCTTTGCACATTTCATTATAATATTTGACTTTGTCTTCTTGGACTTCCCTTTGAAATTAGTTGTTCAGCTCTTTTACATACTTCTGTCTTCTACTTGCTTTAGCATCTCTACACTGGAGAGCAAGTTTCAGTGTCTCTGCTGACATCCATTTTAATCTTCATCTTCTTTCTTGTCTTCTTGATGACTTTATGCTTTCTTCCTGTATGATGTTCTTGATGTCATCTCACAATGCTTCTGGTCTTTGGTCGTCAAATCTGTTCTCAAAATGATTTCTCATTTCAGGTGTTACATATTCAAGGTCAAAAATTGGCTCTTCTGGATTTGTTTTAATTTTCTTCAGCTACAGCCTGAAGTTGCATATGAGCAACTGATGGTTTGTTCCAGAGTGTGACCCTGATCTTGTTTTGCTGAGGATATGGAGCTTTTCCACCTTCTCTTTCCATAGATGTAGCCAATTTGATTTATGTGAATGCCATGTGGTGAGGTCCTTGTGTATAGTCATCTTTTATGTTGTTTATAAAAGGCATTTGCAGTGAACAAGTCATTGGTCTTGCCAAATTGTATCATGCTCTCTTCTGCACTGTTTCTATTGCCAAGGTCATATTTTCCAAATACTCTGCATGTTTCCAACCTTTGCATTCCAATCACCAATGGTCATCAATACATCTTGATTGCATGTTTGTTCAATTTCATACTGAATAAGTTGTTAGAATTATTCAATTTAATCATTGCTGGTTTTAGTGGTTGGTGCATAAATTTGAAAATACTGGTATTAAAATGTAAACATATGGATAATTTCCTATTACAGATAGTATTATACTGTAAGATAGAGCTTGAAATGCTCTTTTTGATGATAATTTTGATGCCATTCCTCTTCAATTTGTCATTCCAGATATGACTGTCAGATTCAGAATGGTCAGTACCATCTACTTCAGTTCACTAATATCTAAGATATTGATTTTTATGCATTCTATTTCAATCGTCCCATATTCATTGGAAAGTTGGACAATGAATAAGGGAAACTGAAGGAGAATCAATGCAGCTGAATTAATGTATTGGGAAGAATATTGAATATACCATGGACTCCAGAGAACAAACAAATGTGTTTTGAAAGAGGTATGGCCAGGCTGCTCCGTGGATGTAAGAATGGCAAGACTTTGTCTTTTATACTTCAGATATATTATCAGGGGGGACCAGTCCTCCTCAAGAGACTGGTCCCTCCTGATAATATGTCTGAAGAATTATTATGAAGGTCA